CCCCAAAACCCCAAAACCCCAAAACCCCAAAACCCCGAAGGAGGCTTGGGAGGTTGAAAGGATGGGAGAGGGGTTTGCTGGGGGATTTTAGGGTGTGAAGTTTTAGTTGAGATTTGGATTTTAGGGGTTATATATGTTTTTGAGGATTGGAATAGCGATTCAGATGGCTAGGATGGTCATTCCGATGATATCTAGGAGTGTGAAGTGGTATTGAAATAGGAAAACATCAAATAACACAGAGAAAATGTTCTCCAAATTCAATATTGGTGCAAAAGAGGAGGCTTTCATATACTTTGTCACACAGAAGATGAAGAGAAACATGAATGCACAAAGGAATCCGTGGCCTATATTTTAGAATAGTTAGACATAAATTTCAGAATAGATATCAAAATTTAGAATCACTTACTTGCATTCATTAGTAGATCATAAGGAGTGTATTTTTCAAAATTAAGCAAATTCTTAATAAATAGGCTAGCAACAGGAGGCTGAATGATAAAGGTAATACCAGTAAGAAATCCAACTGTAGAAGCATGAACACCGTGAGAGTTCAATGATTGATAAAGCACAGGTGTTGCACCTCCTAGCCAAATACAAGCTATAGCTGCTAAATATCCAAAAATACTCTCATCTTTTTCAGAGTCTTGGCTACTCAGAGTTATGATGTAGATACCAATTGAACCCCCAATCATACAAAGAATTTTCAGAACTGTTATCCTTTCTCTTAAAAATACAAATGCAATAACTGAGGTTCCAATGGGCTTCAGACTAAGAATGAGAACAGTCTTTGAAATTGGCAATCTTGCAAGAGCATACATGACTCAAAGATTATTAATTAGAGCAACAAGGACTCGTAGCCAGATTATTCACCAGGCTCTTACTGAGTAATTTCTTACTTCTAAATATGCTCGTGCTGTTAATCCTAATATCAGGCCAACGAGTATCAAAAATATTCCTCTGAAAAATAAAAGATCATGAGCTGAAAGATAAGGACTTGATACTCCAAGCAATTTGACAAGTAAATGTGATACTGTCATCATAGTTAGCGATCCAAGAGAGAAAAGAAGCTTCAAGACATTGCTCTGAATAAATTCTATGTAAAATTAGATAACACAAGATAAGTCAGGTCAGAATTCTTCCAGAAAAGTACCAAAAATTAAAATTTTCATCCAAAAATCCAAAACCCCAAAACCCCAAAACCCCAAAACCCCATCCGAAGGGCAAAAGTTGAATTAATATAAGGTAAAATTTGTGATAAAAATTGCAAAAAGCTCCTCTACCGGGATTCGAACCCGGGCCTCGCAGGTGAGAGCCGCGTATCCTAACCAACTAGACTATAGAGGACAGTCATTATATGTTTGCGACTTTTGGTTTTTATATCTCTACCTATTAAGCATGGATTGTACCTCTCGACTCAAATTTAAATCCTGTATTCCTGAAGAAGTCTTACAGAGAGACTTCTATGTGTCCATTGTTCGTGAAGAAGGAATTCTGAGCGAGACTGAGCATCTGCGAATGTAATACATAAGCTAAGCATTGCAAGTAAACCCTTGTGAAATGTTTTTGATTTATACATTTAACTAATATTTTGATCAATAAACTAAGTAATTTATGGGGTTTTGGGGTTTTGGGGTTTTGGGGTTTTGGGGTTTTGGGGTTTTGGGG